GGAGGCTATGGAGGATTCATAAACTGCTTGATAGTAAATATTTTACTATCAGCAGTTTCTGAATGGAATGGGAAGCCTCTGTACTGAGTGCTTCCCATTCATTGAGTGCTGAGGCTGCAGAAAAAGAAATTGAGGATTTGGTGTCCTCAATTTCTTTTTCTATTTCAAAAAGGGAAATGTCAGGGGTCTGTTCAGACCCCAGAGATTTCACCATAGCCCCCCAAAACAGTAAAAAAAAAATGAATACAAAATAAAAAAAATAAATGTTTAAAAAAATAAAATCATATGAAATGAGCCAGAATGATATCTGAATATCAGCTGCACAGATGCTTGTGTATCAACACAGGACTCCTTTTGATTGACGCGTTTCCGGGGCCACGCCCCCTTCGTCAGAGCATCCACACCCCCTTCGTCAGAACATCCACACCCCCTTCGTCAGAACATCGTTCTGACAAAGGTGGCGTGGCCCCGGAAACGCGTCATCAAAAGGAGTCCTGTGTTGATACACAAGCATCTGTGCAGCTGATATTCAGATATCATTCTGGCTCATTTCATATGATTTTACTGATTCTCATTGTGAGTATGTTTTTACTTGTACTTTAGCTCACATTATTAAAAACCATCTAGACTTGAGTATATACTTAGACCAAATCCAGATGTTACATTTTTTTCTCCAGAGGTTATGTTCCTTCTGGGAGCACATCAAGTTAAAAAGGGACACATCCCGTAGGGCGCAATTTTATCATATTGGAGAGATGCACCATGCAGGATGCAGTAACTCCTTCCACAATTACCCTGTATAATCAGTATGATGGAGTGGTGGTATAATTCATATTTGTTCACAACCCTAATTGCAGGGAGGAAAGGGTGCCACCAACCCTGGCATCAACAGGGTGTAAAGACCAAAGAGGGGGGGCGTCCGACTGGCTCACTGAGGGTACACAACATTCAGGACCCTGGTGAAACTTCCCAACTGAGTATCTTCATGATTTACAAACAGAGGAATATAACAGCAGACATGTATACATATATAGACCGATATAGATCATATACAGCTGTCATATCAATACATATGATCAATTATTTTAATACATCTGCTTTGTTTAGATATCACTGATAGAATTGAATATAACTCTTTGCCATCTATCCGAACATTTTTGTATTTGGATAATATAAGTTGTCTCATATACCGTTATCTATTATTGATTGTCTGTATGCAAATACAAACATTTCTAAGGACACATTGTATGTAAATATGATGTATTATATGACCCACTGTATATAAATATGATATACTGTATGTGATTATAAATACTTCCAATGATGATCCCTATCCCCTTCGGGGGGCTTCATCACTTGAATGTCAGAATTTTTCGATGGTAGGGTGTGTGTCCAGTAGCCCCCCGTCTTTGTTGGGCAGATGGGTGCTAACCATGTTCCATGCGGGCAGCACTTAGGGTGCTGCCGCCTCTTATGAGGCGGCCGGCGTCTGCCTGACCGAGGCCGCCATTTGGCCGTTGCTGACTTATTTGTCCCTATGTGTCACTGGATCATCTGCCCAGTTTTATATTTTTCATTGTTGTTTCCTCTTGTCCATTTATCTGCGGGACATGGCCTGTGGCTATTGGGAGCTTATGCAGCCTGTGTGGGAGTGGCTTCCAGCCTGGGTGGTTCTGTCCCTGCATTGCTTATTGGGGCGGTTCCGTCTTGGTCACGTGATGACGTCACGGCGTCTTCTCGGTCACGTCATCAGGGTGGATGCCGTTATAGCGCCAACGTGAGCCTCCAGTGCTAGTGTGCAGCCTAGGGTGGCCGCGCAGTACGCTGGGGGCTTTGAAGATGAGAGGTGGACTTATACTCTTAGGTCGATGACGGGTGAACCTCTGGGTAAAAGACCGCAATCATCTAATGGTATGTACACCCCTTAAACTATGGACTTTCTGTGGGACGTTATGATCACTAAGTGATCGTCTCCTATACATCCGGCTTTAATGCTATTGTGAGGCTCTGATTTTGCCCCACATCTATTGTTTCAGGGTTATTTTGATACCACATACCTCTCACCTCCCCACTGCCTTTAGTGGGGTTTATGGTGTTGACTTCTCCCCCCTTGTCTGCTCCGGTGGGTGTGATTCAGTTGCTGCGCCTGGACAGGGCTACAGGGACGCACACACATCGACTTGTTTTAATGGTAGGTGACATTATATAATATATAGTTTGGATGAACATGAGTTAAGATATTGTAGATTATAACTATATATGTATATCCTTTTTTGAATCTAGGGCGGGGCACGGTAGGGGCCAGGTGGGGCGACTGGTGGCGAGTAACTCTTAAGGCCTGGCTAGTAGCTCAGGACTTGAAATTTTGAGCCCTGATGTAGATAACTTCCTCCTCCTGAAGAAGCGCCGTTAAGCGCGAAACGTAGAAACTGCTCTTCCACACCCAACCCTTCCAACAATATCTTTCACTTACATGATTACTACCTATGTTATGTCTATTATGATATGGAGGTCTTGATTTGAATTAATCCAGATCATGCATCATTTTTCTATGTGTTGAACCCAGATCATGTTTAATATTGGTTTTCTATATCTGAATCATGGTTTATTTTAATGGTCATACTATGCATGAAGGGCGGTGCCAGTGGAGATCAAATCTGCTTAACTTCTAAACCCTCCTAGTATTGATTCTAGACCTATCGATCATGTCCATCTATTAATTGCCAATCTAAAATTTTAATCATGTCTTTATTAACACCTGTAGTGTGAATGGAAAGTGTTTTGTGAAGGGAATGAGAATAGAGGGATTTATCTTAGTTGGTTACTGTTACTTTTATGAATTGGCTATGAGCCTCTTTTAAAATAATATTATTTAAAATATATTTTTTATATACTTTTTTTTGTTCGGAGTTGTCATTTTTGTGCTTCTAAAACCCCACCTTTCTTCTCATTTTTTGCTTACTTCCAGAGTGAACATATATCCCCTTGATGAGTTTGGTTGCCCTCCTCTGGACTCTCTCCAGCTCAAGGACATCCTTTCTGTGCACCGGTGCCCAAAAAACTGCCCCGCATCCCGAACCAGTGATGTTTAAAGTGGCAGAATTATAGGACTTGTCCCTGCAAAACATTACCTTCTTGATGCAGGACAGGATTCTACTAGCTTTGGTTACAGAAACCTGGCACTTTAATCTATTATTCAGTTTATGGTCTACAATGACCCCCAAATCTTTCTCCATTTCCAACTTCCCTAGCAGCATACCCATAATTGTATAACCCATTTGCTTATTTTTAATCCCAAAGTGCATAACTTTGCATTTATCGACATTAAACCTCATCTGCCAACTACTTTAAATTAATAGAACTAGGGATGCACCGATACAAGCATCAGTATCAGCGGCGATACCGAGTATTTGCATGAGTACTCGTACAAATACTCAGATACAAAAAACGAGTATGTGTGCCACGTCTGCCATCTTCAGGGACCCGAAACGGCCGCACACAGGACCTCCATCGCGTCTTCAATGAAACAAGATGGCCGCGAACTCCTGTTCCAAGTCCTCTGCTCCATTCTGACCTTCTCCCGCTGATTGGCCGATTGGATGATTGACAGGCTTCCTCACCAGTCAGGAGTGACTGGTGAGGAAGGCTGTCATCATCCAATCGGCCAATCAGCGGGAGAAGAGGTCAGAATGGAGCAGATGACTAGGCTGTGACACGGAGTGGCTGAAGCAGACGGAGAAGACGACACGACACGAGACATCAGGTTAGTACTGCAGCACCATATATACCAAAAAGATAAACCAGCTAACAAGAGTGGCTGGTTTAAAAAGGGTTAACAGAGGATCGAAACAAGTATTCCAATTACAAAAAGAGTTTATTCAATAAAATATCAGTTTTGGACATAAACATCATAGCATTAACTGGTTAAAAAAAAAAAAAAAGCATGAGATACAATTATAAATCTTCAGGTCTGCAGATCTGTTTGTATAATGTGCTCTCATTCATATATGCTAATCAGCTGTAACCATGTGGGAAAGAAACTGATTTTTAAAGAAGGTGCTACTATGTAGCTTCCTTGTTTTTCCCACTGGAGATTAATACGTGTATTTCAGATATATTATATAAAACATATTATCCTTTGGTGTCAGCTGATTAGCATATATGAATGAGAGCACATTATACAAACAGATCTGCATACCTGAAGATTTATAATTGTATGTCATGCTTTTTTTGTTTTTTTTAAACCACTTAGTGATAAAATATCAGTTTTGGACATAAACATCTTATCTAATAAACTCTTTTTGTAATTGGAATACTTGTCCCGATCCTCTGTTAACCCTTTTTAAACCAGCCACTCTTGTTAGCTGGTTTATCTTTTTGGTATATAGGGTTCATTTTGGTTACGGATCTGGTTGACAAAAATTAGATAAAGGGTCATTTAAATGGTTCGGATCTCCAGGCAGAAACAAAATAGTTTTCTATTAGTACTGCAGCACTGCATGGGGGCTGGGCACATGGAACAAAAATAATATATGCCTGTAATGTTGTTTAACTTAAAAAAGACATTAACTGCCTCCGGGCCGGCCGTAGTAAAAAAACGGCCGGCCAGGTAGCCCCCGGATGTGATAGCAAAAAAATTTAGTAAAAAAAAAAAAGGAAAAAAAAATTAAAGTCCCCCCAAAAAATTAACACATAAAAAAGAATAAAAAAAAAAAAAATTAAGTCCCCACCCATACAAGAAAAAAAAGTCCCGCCCCCAAAAAAAAATGAAAGTTACACATTACAAATGTTTTGTTTTTTTATTCTTTTTCCCCACACATACACGCATGCAAACATGCGTCGGGGGCGCATACGTGCAAAAAAGACGATTGCGCCCATTACGCCGCACATGTTACATATCGCCGCGAACGTCGCAGTGAAAGCAATAAGTCTAGGGCCATCAATCACTGATAACACTAAACTGATGAGCGGTAAAAACGTTTAAAGCGTCGCCTATGGCTAATTTTGGTTGCGGTCGTTTTCTGCGATGTCGCGGGTGCGCGCAATTTTAATGCTTGACATGTTTGGTGTCTATTTAACCGACGTGACCCGATCTTTTATATTTGACCAAAAAACTGGGTAATAATAAATGTTTCCTAACATAATGTTAAAAAAAACTTTTTTTTTTTCAAAATTTTCAGTAATTTTTCCTAATTATAATAAAAAATAAAACCCCCCAGTGGTGATTAAATACCACCAAAATAAAGCTCTATCTATCCCCAAAAAATGGTGTAAAATTAATTTCAGTACAGCGTTGCATGACGGAATAAACGTCAGTCAAAGTATCGCAGCGCTGAATACTGAAAAATGGCCTGGCCAGGAAGGGGGGTCTAAACACCTGGTCTTAAAGTGGTTAAAATAATGAAATTAGTAAGTAGATTTTGCCATTGCTAACTAAGGCTTGTATCCCCCTAGTGGGGGAAAATAGATGAGCACATGTCCAGACTCCAGAACACTGTATAGTGGGGCACAGCTATATCCACTTCTGCATACCTGGCTTTATATTATAAATTATTTTGTATTGCTTTAGAAAAAATGTGACCTGCCCCTTTAAGAAAAAGTATCGGTAATTGGTATCGGTGAGTACTTCAAAAAAAGTATCAGTACTCTTACTCGGTCTTAAAAAAGTGGTATCGGTGCATCCCTAAATAGAACACGTCAATATGACACAAGCCAATTGTTATTTTAAAAATAACCTCTTTCTTGCCATGCAATAAAAAATAAAATATCCCCAAACGCCCAGCCAAAAAGCTTAGCTCACATGATCAGAGAATCTATTGTATCCAAACGACAGGGAGCTTGGAGGATTAGGGTAGGTTCACACCATTTTCCGGACCACATCTGGTCAGGAAAATGGTGTGAACCTGAATGCAGTGCATTCCAGACCAGACAAAATGAGACATACTGTATTTTTTTGGTCTGGAACGGACTGCGCTGGTGTGTACAGAGGCCAGATATAGCGTTGGGATACAGAAGGATGCATTTTTGGATCCCGAAACAATCTGGTCTGGTAATGATGTGGCCATACACCTTACAACCATCGCAAGACTTTTTGCCTTGCGATGGTTGTAAGGTAATTTTTTTAAAAACATACGATCTGCCCATCTGATGCGCTCAGGGGCGGGCTTCCGATGACTGCAATGCTGAACGGGCAGTGTGAGTGTGCCGCCCCAACAGGGGCATAGAATATGAGATGCATAGCCTCAGTTAATATTAGCATTGTTATATAGGTTAGAATTTATATAGTGTGATTTGCCTAACTATTTTCTCATAGCTAAATTCATGTGTTATCCTATGCTGCCATCTAGTGGCCTTTTGTTGTAACAAACATGCTTTCTGTAATTATTCCTCATGTGACGATGTATTTCCCCCTAGTGTAGCCCCTTTCTGCTTCCTGTGTGAAGTACTTCCTGTGTCATGGCACAGCTACTAGCCACATGTAACAAGGACACACATGTAATCTGCACAGTACGTAGGAAAGGCATCATTTTCTGACCGCACAATACTATCACCATTCAACTGCTGTTCCTATCATCTGCTGTAAAGAATAAACACCTCTTTTGAATGAATCGGTATTGACGAGTTCAGCTATCTGACGAGGATTGTCCGCAGTGAGTATATCTGCTTATACAGGCCAGGCATAGAGGTCTCAGCAAGGGATATATTTCGCTATCACAACGATCGGAGTCAGAATAGTGCGCTTGCGCACACCGGCCCGTGCGGCGTCTTACGAGCAGGCTACAAACCCGCCGAACATCGTACGATTTTCGGCTGGTTTTCAAACATGCTCGTAAGACAAAAGACGAGCGACCGTACAGTAGAAACGGTCGCACGCCTTCCATACACCTGCCGATTATCGTACGATCAAGGGATTTCCCGCGATTATTGTACGATAATCGGCAGGTGTATGGGCACCTTTACAGATTACCACAAACTACAATCAAGGTTTTAAATGCATAATTGCAGCCGACAGTGATTTTATTGAGAACCACTCTGGTGTGTGATCATTAGTGGGGATCTAAGTCGACTGTTACAGCCAGGTTGGAGAGTTTCCAGCCTTGCAAGTTTCTGCTGCTAGCTTTCAAAATCAATGATCCACAATTTCACATATACCTCTGCCACTTCGTTTTGGGTTCTTTTTGCTTGGAGTCTCTGAGCAGATTTCATCTGGATTCCCTCCCTCCTCTTCAATAGCCTTTAAGGAAATCAGAATTCAAGAGTATGTCGTTAAAAAGAAAAGAAAAAAAACTGAAGCTTTTAGAAAAAAAAATTTGATATGCCTCATGTCAAACTTGAATAAAAACCCGAACCTCATACTGTCTTAAGTTATTTATGTCATTTTAAAAATTATTGTGACAGTAGAGGTAAGGGAGAGGCAACAAAGTTCTAAAGAATCATCCTCCACCAATCCTGAAAAAGTATACCAGAACACAGGAAAATACCACTAAACCCAAAATCGCACATGGGAAGCAGGACCCAAAATGCACACAAATATACAAGTTGCCATCATGCAAAAATTAGGGGCAGGCGAGAGACCGACATTTCAGACACTCCGAGTCACTAAACTCTGTTTTCCAGTAGACTGGGACACATGCTTCTGCAGACACATACTGCTTTCTGTAGATTTAAAACATTAGTTAAACCATACATGTTCATGTAAAGAATTAGCAAAAACATGCAACAGGTTTAAAGGAGAACTATTGAGGCGAGGGAAAATTACTGAGCCTTCTAGCCGACTTGTGACAATAAAACTGTCACGCGTCAGCTCAATAGATCGGGAAGTGAGCGGGCACATACTGTCGCGCACTTCTCGATCATGTCCCTGCAGAGAGCTGTGACTGAGCGGCTCCCTGCAGGGATTCCCCCCCTCCCCTGTCCGATCCTCCAGCGCTGACTGGCGGAACGGACAGGGGAGGGTACAGCTGGCTCTGTCAATCACACAGCTGGGTGGATCCAGACAGTAATGTCGGGATCCGTCCCTGCGCCTCAGTATACCGCGAGCCGTAGCTCGCGGTATACTGAGCTTTGGGTGACGGGAGGATGCTAGTTTGTGTCCGCTCATTACGCTTAGGAGAACTATGGGGGAAAACACTGACCCCATAGTTCTCCTTTAAGGTCACTTTTTAGATAATGTTATGGGAAATGGCAATCTATTCAATCTCTAATTTTTTACTTTAGCACTTTTATTTTGTACATTTTTATTTTTACTTTTATTGATTTTTACTTTGGTTTTTTTTCACTTTTCGTTATTCCGATCACATAGGGGTTTAAAAGCCTAGGTGTGGTAGTTTGGAGGTGAAAATGTTCTCTTTTGGAACCTGCCCTCTAGCACAGAACAGATGTTCTGTGAAAATCCTGACAGCTGAGACAAGTGGCGCTGTGATTACAGCCCTCCGGTCTCAGTGATCACACAGAGCAGGCAAATGAAGAACAGACGTTCTTCGCCTGCGCTACACTCTATGCCAGAGGTAGGCAACCGTGGCTCTCCAGCTGTGCTGAAACTACAAGGACTAAAGCGGGGGCCCAATCTTCTTGTCGTAACACAAAAAATAATTTTAACCAAAACCATTGTAAGAAGCACTTCTCATTGGTCAGCATGGACAGGTGACTGTGCTGATTAATGAATGCTCACAATTTAAAATTCATAGCACAGAGCTGCACTGGACAGCAGTACAGGGTACTGATAGTACACCTGTACCGGCAGAGGGCAAGCACTGCTTGCCAAAATGCAAGGGGAAGAACGGGCAGTTTGAGCAGGGAATTCCATTTTCCCATATTACTTGGAAAAGTGGACTTGCCCTTTAATGCACATTGGCGTGTTAGAGAGCGCCGCTGTCCAACTACCACAATATGGTAGTCCCATTTACTTTATCACTTTTTTTTATTTTCTTTCACTTAACGTGCTAAAAAACCCCTATGCAATGGCGTTTGGAGGTGAGAGGGTTTTCAGGGTATATCAAACCCAATCGAGCATGTCGATGCACCCATGGCAAGTAGGATCCCATATAGTACAATGCATTTGTATCTCAGTCCTATGCCATGCAGCCAGTACAATATCTCTGACCTCCCTGAGCACCTATAGGAACAAATATTATAAAGCAGTTTAGAAAGAGATGAAGGTGTCAGAGGAGTGAGGAAGGGCTGTTCTCTGAACCCAAGCTGCCCTTCTTAATGCAGCAAGCTGGGGGAGCGTGTAAGCCTGCACACTATATGCGATAATGTACAGACAACATGGTGTGTACAGGGCAATGATCATCCACATAAAATGATCAGAGTCAGTACACCGGCACACTGACCCGGCAGCAACAGGGGGATACACACAGCGGCAGGGATGGTATGTCCTTGCTGGCCAAATACAGCAGTGTGCCCAGGGATTGCTCTGCCTATACACAATACTGAGTCGGTGTCTAGTCTCTTTGGTATCCCGGAGCCCTACAAGCGCTGCAGTGTCATGACTACATTTAGCCCTGCTTACCCGCAGTCCTTGCTTACAGCAGGACTAGTTACAGTTAAATTCCCCATTGTTTCAGGCAAGGAGACCCAAAATACATTTTATATATTATGTTTATTTTAGGCAAAGGGAAATAAAAAAGATAATGAGCGGAGCATATATTTAATAAAAAAGGAACTTCACCCATATCTTTGAAATGACAACAAATCCACCTTTTGAAATGTTTAGTCATAACAATCTACAGACATAGATAATTGCAGGTTTTTATTCTTTGCATACCTTCTTTTTCCTACCAATTCTTCTCACAGTGGCCATTTTAACTAAGGGCAGATTCATTTATCTCCCTTTACTTCATGGAACTACGGCACATGCGACCATGCACCTCATCTTAGGGAGAAAAAAATAATAATTTTCCGAGATCACAGATGAGATTTCCCAGCAATGCTCTGTGGTGCAACTTTCCCAGGATGCAACGCAAATGCCCACCAGGACCAGAAAGTGGAAAAACAGTAATTGTAAGAAAGAAAAATAATATGTTTGTTTAACTAATAAATGCAAGATGATTTCATATCAGCATGCAGAGCTGCATGCTGATGTAATTTTCAGTGAAAGGGGATAGAGCTGCAGCTAACTATTTTCAAAATCGGTTAGCCGATTATTACGTTCGATTAATCGGATAAAATACATTTTTAAAAATGGCTCCCGTGATGGGACTACTAGTTTTTTAGGGCTGCAACAACTAATCGACATAATCGATTATTGAAAAAGTTGTCAACTATTTCAATCATCGATTAATCGGCTTCCGATTGGTTGCCCCTGTTCACGGCTCCACACACGCTGCGCGCCACACCTCCTCCCCACCTCAGACCCGCCCGCATCCATGCTCCACACGCCACACCTCCTCCCTGCCTCACGCTCACTGCCCGCCCAAATCCACGGTCGGCACAGGGACGCAGGGAGAAGAAGTAAGGAGGAGCAGGTGTGGGCGGATGACAGCCGCCGATAGACAGGTAAGCCTACGCTTCCCCACACATGGTGCTCTATAATGTATTGCTGGGATTTGTATTCCTCTATAGCTGATGGTACACTGTGCTGTATATTATACCATCAGCTATAGAGGAATACAAATCCCAGCAATACATTATACACTGCATGTATAATGTTTTGCTGTGATTTGTTGTATTCCCATATAGCTGGTGGTATTCTGCATTGCGCTGTATAGAGGACTACAAATCAAGGAATAATGTATTATTGCTGGGATTTGTTGTAGTCCTCTATAGCTGGTGGTATTTTGCATTGTGCCGCTGTATAATGTATTATTGCTGGGATTTGTAGTCATCTATACAGCACAATGCAGAATACCACCAGCTATAGACGAATACAACAAATCCCAGCAATACATTATAGAGCACCATGTGTGGGAAAGTGCAGGCTTACCTGAGCAATCTTCCAGCAACTTGCTGCTCAGATCGGGCCTGTCTATCGGCGGCTGTCATCCCCCCACACCTGCTCCTCCTTACTTCTCCCCGCGTCCCTGTGCCGATCGTGGATGAGGGCGGGCGGTGTGGAGCGCAAGGAGGTGTGGAGCGCAAGGAGGTGTGGAGCGCAAGGAGGTGTGGAGCGCAAGGAGGTGTGGAGCGCAAGGAGGTGTGGAGTGCTGATGCGGGCAGGTCTGGACCCATGAACAGGGCCAACTAATCGGAAGCCGATTAATCGATGATTGAAAACGTTGACAACTTTTTCAATAATCGATTATAATCAATTTAGTCGATTAGTTGTTGCAGCCCTAAAAAGGGGATGAAGGTGAGCTTTAAGGGCCCATTCACACCATGTCCGGATCATCTCTAGACCAGATTGTTTCCGGACCCAAAATGCATCCTAATGTATCCCTTTGCTACCTCTGGCCTCTGTTCACACCAGCGCAGTCTGTTCCAGACCAGACAAGAAAAATACTGCTCGTCCTATTTTGTCTGGTCTGCACAAAAACGCATACACACCTGTAAGACCATTTTAAGATAGAAAAAACATTTTTTAAACAAGACAAAATCACGGTAAAAACACAATGCACTGCGTTCCAGATCTGGTCCAGAAAATGGTGTGAACCTGCCCTCAGGCTCATTCACATTGGAGTACACGTCTGTGTCGGCACCTGCTTCCAGGGCGGCGCAGGTCCAGTATGCAATTGCGTACAACCACCTGTACATCTCTATGGGGAGGACCTGGCTGCACCCAACCCTAACCTGCAAACCCAGGTGCCCACAGTTGGACACATGCTGTGTGCTTGTACGGCCGCACCTGTCCCTCCTGAAAGCAGGTCTCCGTGCAGGCGTGCACAACGTACAGATGTGCACACCGATTTGAATGAGCTCTAATAGCAAAATAAGCAGCACATTATGCCTTCCATTCATGGCTTGCTTAGGGAGCCATTAATGCATGGCACCACAATGCACACAGTCCCTTGATTCTGCATGTGTGTACAAAATGCATGAAAAACACGTCACACATGAAGTGTTATAATTGGTAATAGTGTCCCAAACATTCCAAGCACGATACTACACTAGTGTGAAAAAGAAGGCTTTGTTTTACTATTGAAAGATGGGCTCTATTAATTACCTATTGGCTTTTTTGCCTAAAATGCTTTTACGCACACACACTTTTTGGGACTTTGTTCGTTTTCGAGCAGCCATCAGTTTGCTTTGTCTCTCCCTTTGCCCATCTCTCTTACCACCCAGGCCACGCGCTTTGCCCACCCAGCCGCCATAGCCTCACCTTTCTAAGCCTCTCCATAAGAGCACTCTTGTTCCCGCCGATATCCAAATTCCGCTTCTTCAGCTCGGCCTTTAGGTCAATAACCCGCAGTTCGCTCAGCTTTTTTGTTTCAACTTCGGGGTAAACGCACGAGTCCGCGGTTAGCTCTGCCATGGCGCTCGATGATGCACACGAAGGTCGGCTTCCCAACAACGTCTTATCACACTGCCTTCCGTGCCCCTACAAGTGAATCGAACGGGGACAATGCGCATGCCACACCTGCGCACTAACTGAGCCGGAAGTGCCTCAACCCGCATGTCTCACAGGAAATGATTTTCGCAGATGGTGCAGCGGCTTTTGTGTTCCGCCTGCTCTTTCTAGTTCGTCATTTCAGCTTTGTATTGTTAGTAATACCGCGCCGTGACATGTGGGTGTTTTTGTAAATTAAAGATGTGTGGTGATGTTTTACAAGGTGTGTTTTAAATGTGTAATGCATAGTTTCTATATACTTTATGTCCGCAGAATAAATGTACAGCCAGAGCAGTCAAGATGAAGTATCAATACAATCTATAGAGTTTGCAAACAATTGATCCATGCACCACATTGATAAAATTATGTGCATTCATTTTTTTTGCATTGGAGCATGCAAAGCATTGCAACTGCATTTAGTGGATGGCGTAAGCTGCTGCACACTATTCCTCCTGTCCTAGGTCTGTACCAAGATAAGTACCGTATGTTATGATGGAAGGATGTAATGAATGGATTACAAATGCAATGATGTCACCACACCTGCACTCCAGTGAGATCCTTGAGTCCTTCTTGGTGGCAGATAGGACTTGCAGTCTTTTCTTTCATAGACCCTTTGAATGTGTACTCCTTAAAGTGGAACTATACTCACATTCCCTCCAGTGATTCAATGTCTGTGAACTCCAACACAACACACGTTTTCGGGATCTTGTGCCATTTTGATTGGCAGTGTTGAGATTGCGTAAATCCCATGCACACGCAGGAGTTCATTGAACCTGGCATGTGCTGAAATTTTACACTGAACTCCACATGCATATGTCCTATTCTCCAATTAAAACCCTGTCTGGGCACCATTTTTAGTTAAAGTTGCTCTTTAGTGTGCCACGCATAAGAGTCTTACAAACCTCAGCACAAAGGAGCATTTCATAACTTTAAATTCTTTCATTACACATTCCTTTCTCTACACAGAATATAAACAGAAACCTAACACATAGAGGCTGAATTACTAAGGGATGAAAATCTTGACACAATAAATGGTGTGAATATTCACTTCATTTATCCAAGTGTGAAAACAAAAATCCTGTTTACATATTTCAGCTTTTTTCACCCCACCCGTCCACTTTGTAGGTATTGGTGAGCAGTGCAATATCTCTCTTCTCACGCACTTTGCTGGCATTGGGGATCAGTAAAAGAATCCCCCTCCCCTTGCTAGGCAGTGGTGGTCAGCAGAAGAACCTCCCTTCCCTCTTCCAAGCATTAGGCCTTGTTCACACCAAATGCAGACCAGATCCGGTCAGGTTTCTGCACACGCAGTGTAGTGGGTTGTGCCGCGTTTTGGATGCATTTTTGATGCGTTTAGGGCCGGTTTTGGTAAAAAAAAAAAATTTAAGTTTAACATGGACTTTCAGGCACTTGCATGCGTTTTTGCATTTTGGATGCGTTTCAGACCATATCCAGAGCAGGTAAAATAGGGCTTGCCGCATTTTTTTCATCTGGTCTGGATCCGCACGCTGCGATGTGAACTGGAGGTCAAAATACCATAGGAATACATTGGACGCAGTTTTGATCCGGTCTGCACCTGCTCTGGTCCGGATCTGCTCCGCGCTTGGTGTGAACAAGCCCTTAGTGGTCAGTAAAAGGGTGTCATTAAAAGAGTCTGTCCTCCCCCATGCATTGGTGGCCAGCTGGAGGCAGTAAAGAGCATACCTATCTGTCCCAGGCTGCTGCCTGTGTGGTGATGTCACTACTGTAACTATGTACAGTCATGTGGGGAAAAAAAAAGTATACCCTCTGAATTCTATAGGTTTACGTATCAGGCCATAATAAAAATTATTTGGTCATTAGCAGGTCTTAAAATTAGGTAACGCTCAGATGAAAAGCAACACATGACATATTACAGCGTGTCATTATTTATTTTACAAACATAAAGCCAAAATGAAGATGTTATGTGTGAAAAACTAAGTACATCTTATAATTCAATAGCTTGTAGAGCCACATTTAGCAGCAATAACTTGAAGTAATCATTTTCTGTATGACTTTGTCAGTCTTGCATAGTTGTGTAGGAATTTCGGCCCATTGTCTCTACAACATTGCTTCAGTTCATTGAGGTTTGCAGGCATTTGTTTATGCACTGCTCTCTTAAGGTCCTCCCCACATTTCAAGCGGATTGAGGGCTGGGCCAATGCAACACCTTGATTCTTTTCCTATTCAGCCATTCTTTTGTAGAAATGCTGGTGTGCTTGGGATCATGACCCAATTTCAGCCAAGCTTTAGCTATTGGAAACATGGCCTCACATTTGACTCTAGAATACTTTGGTATACAGAGGCGTTCATGGTCGACTCAATTACTTCAAGGTGCCCAGGTCCTGTGGCTGCAAAACAGGCCCAAATCATCACCCCTCCACTGTGATGGTAATGAGGTCATAGCACCTGAATATTATTTTGAACACTCCATCTTAGCCATATTTTGCTGACACAGGCTCCTGTGACACTGTTTCATTTAAGCCATCTCAACACTCCAAAGAAAACAGATATCTGCTAATCTGTGTCTATGATCTTTATAGTCCTTAGCCCTAATTACCTAAGTGAGGTACCAGGCATACCCTCATAACCGTTCTATGACTACCAGTAATGAAAAGTCAACAGCCAGCACTAGACAACCTCAGCTAGAGATTGCCTGGTTTGATTACAAATTAACTGACCTTTAATTCACCTTTGGCCATAAAACATGAGTCCCAACATCATCTAATATTCATAATTTGGAACCTGGAGAAGTTATCTGAGCCAGAAGAGTATGCGTCTCATCAAGATAAATTCACACATCAAATCATGGATAGGTTACGATGTTCAGAGGCCTGACAAGCCACACTAACCCTCCTGAACCAGCCACAATTCCCACCAATGCCAAGTTTAGAATTGATCTGAAGCTAGTTCATGACACACTAGTTTAAGGGTTATCAGGCAGTAATATGTAAGAATATTAAATTATGTTGATAGTTATGAAATTGAGTTTAGGAAGGGCAGAGGAGAGGATTATAAAATACTTAGACCTCCTGCTCACCCTCTCTAGTCCTTCCCAAATGGCTTATGGGCTGGCTCAGGGACACCCCCCTAGAGGACCTGCACAGGGCACTCAGGAGGCTGTCATAACACCAAAGCTTGTAACATCCGAAGGAGAAGCTTGTGTAACATCCAAGGAGAGTTTCCCCTTAACATCAAGAAAGAATCCATGCAAGCCTTACTTGGAGAAAGAGTAATTCAGATCCATCTTTTGTGCATTGAACTGGACTCGGAACTTAATAAACCCCGAACTTAAGTATTTTTATTTCACTATTGTTATCTGTGCCTCTTTCTTAACATCTTTTTCTGTATAATTTTTCTTAAAGGACAATCGTAAAAATCATTAAGCTTATCTCTATGTTCTAAATAAGAATTTAACTAACTGTTGTCCAGCCGTTGTAATTAAACGGCTGAGCAGCAGCTTCTTGAATGCGGGTGGCCATTTCTAGATGTCTTTCCCGCCCCTGCTTGTGTGCGTGCGCCTCCCTCCGCCACTGCGCGCTCACGAGTGGGGAAACTGTGCCCACACTGTGCATTGGTATAGAGCCAGTGTCTGCATCTCTCACATACTGTTCGGATGTGTGAGAGGAGATTGAAATCTTCACAGCAATCCTCCACAGTAAGAATTAAAGTGACATATACCAAAATAGTGTCAGTGCAGATCACAGTGTCTCAATGCGATTCAAAGTGTCATCAGTCCAATTTACTGTCAGCAGTGTGCTTCACAGTATCATCAGTGAGATTCAAAGTGACAGTGCAATTTACAATGTCTCAGTGCATATTGCAGTGTCATCAGTACAGATCATAGTGTCATCAGCGCAGATCACAATGTCATCAGTGTGATACAAAGTGCCAGCAGAGCGATTCAGTGTCAGCAGTGTGATTCAAAGTGTCATCCACAAGTATACCCACTATTAAAAATGTCTAAAAAAAATGTACAGCAGTGAGGAGGCGTTTCAAATTCTCAGTATGTCTGGTGAGAGTGACCTCTGGCCTCCCTGTCAGATTCTGGATCAGCATATGAACCTGTTGAAAGCAGCGGTTCAGTATCCACCTCTATTATGGATATTTTGGTTGGACTTTGCGCAGTAATCTCCGGTGCACTAAAAGGTACACGTTCGGTATTAAAATGCGCCCAGCACAAACAATCTGGTTGCTGTTAAAAGCATGCTGCATTCAGTTCTTTCTGAATAAGGGATGAAGTACTTCTTTAGCACCAGAGAGAGTCAGACACCATGCTGGTTCAAGCTGGAGTCCAAGTCGAAAAAGGCTGAACCGACCCCCAACTCTTTCATTTTATTAAGGCAAAAGGACGACGCCCAGTGGGAGACGGCTTTACAACATTAGCCAGTCAGCCCAGAAATACAGGTACATATCAAAAGGAAAAGGGGACTACACCAAGATGGCTGAACAGGGAAATGCACACACCTCATCCCTGTAACAAGGAAGGATGAGTCATGTCCATTGTCCCCGACCGGCCATGTGGTTGCCCATCCCCCATCATCATCAGCATGGACCATACTCAATACTGCTCAGAGTGACCAGGATTAAGTAAAGCCATGCTACTTGTTCTTATAGGTCTACAAGGCATATTATCAATGTCTTCTTATAAAAGCAGATATGTATCCAAAAGGGATAGCGCAGTCCGCAATAGAGGTATAATACGCATCTCGTTATACGGACTTCGCTTCACTAATGTGTACAGAAGTTTGAAGGCAAAGAGCCCAGCGCATTGCACGTAGTACTCACAAACCGGCAAACGCCTCCACACACCGCAAACACGTCTCCCAAGCCCATGAGAACGTTTTCATACTGACGGTTTTACCGCTGGTCCCGATTCAACCCAAGTACCCTCTGCTAGAGCGTTCCTCGGTTAAATCCGACACAGGGAGACAGATGACAACCTATAAAACACACACATCCTAGAATAAAATGTCCACCTAATTCTGTATAATAAAATTTCCACAACACCTCTGAAGATGCTGTCCGACATC